GCGGGGGGGGGGAGGCGGGAAGGAGCTGCGCGCATGCGCATGCGCAAGGGCTGGGGCAGGCGGAAGCAACCGCGCGTGCGCAGCAGGCTCCGATGAGGGCAGCCAGCATTCTAAGGGAGGGGAAAGGAAACGCGCGTGCGCAGGCGCATGTGTGAGGGTGTCTGGCGTTTGTAGCGGGCTCTGCTGCCTGTTGGAGGGCTGCGGTAGCGTTGCACATGCGCGCTGTGGCAGGGCTGTCGGTCCTCGTGCCCATGCCAGGCTCTTATGCCTGACTAAGCCTAAGCCAGCCTGGGTGTGATTCTGCCCCGCCAGTGTTGCCAGGTGTACGATAGTTATCGTCTTTGGACAATAACTTTGACCCTTGTACGATGTATGACCCGTAATACCAGGCTGTCCAAAATGTAGGATCATTGCAGTAGATGCAACACCCAAGTCACTCTCAGGGAATCTTAACCAACTTTTGGGTTTTTGTTCTTTGTTAATTTTCGGTGTTCCAAGCCAAATTTGCCAAATCAAATTCCAAATCCGCAAGTCATTCCAGAACCTGTGCCAGGCATTGCTTTTTCAGATGAAGTTGGCTACTTCTTCTCTATCTTCGCTCACTGATTTCCAGTGGTAGGACTGAAGTTCGCTCAGAAACATTTTAACACAGTCTGTTTCCTTGAGCTTGGCATGCCTGTATAACAGGAGGTTCCTGCATTGCCAAAGGGTACTCCTGACACAGGACACAAACTGGTCAAAACGTGTTGTCTGGGACCCCTGCTGCTCAGTCAGGTGTCCATACAGCACCACCTCCCTTGTAATCAGCCTGACTCTTGTCACTCTTTCAAGGAGCTGACTTACCTTTTTCCTCACACCCTTGGCATATGGGCTGTGCCATAGGAGTGGTCAATGGTCTCTGTTTCTTCTTGGCAAATTTCCCTGGGGCAATTGGGTTGAATCCCTCATTCCTCCCTGTACTTCTACACCCTCACTGGGAATACCTGATATGCTATCAGCCAACTCAAGTCAGCACTTCCTTATGACTGCTTGTATCAAAATAAATGCTTCGATGTTTGACCCAGTTCTCACTCACTGGCGTGTTACAGTAAGCAATAGAAAGTAAATAAGACTCATTTGCATACTTATTTGCATATTTTTCAGTGTACAATAGTTATCAGCAAAAACAATAATTTTGAGCTTCCAATACGATAATTTCATATTTAAGACCTGGCAACGCTGTGCCCTGCCCTGCTCTGCTCCCTGGGCATTTGTACACATGCTTGTGCTACACTGCTGGGCACTTTTCAGCACTGTGGCGCATGCATTTGTATAAATGGTGAAATGTGTTTCAGTGCTGAGAAGATGGTGTTGTTGCATGGGGCGGGGGCTGGGGCTCCCTCCTCCCTGCTGCTCTTGTGGCTGAAGTCTGAGGGGAAGGTGATGCATGTTACAGGGCTATTTTCAGAAGCGGAACATGGGAGGGGGAGGAAATCAATAGCCCTTCTTAGGTGCCTAAAGCCACCTAGACTCCCAGTGGGTAGAGGAGAAGATTCCTGCCCCAAGTCTTCACTGTGGGGGTGGCCTTAGTTAACTACACAAATGCCAGCCCAGGAATGTCAACCAGTTTTGCTTCCTTACACAGCCTGAGAGAGCCTTTGCCTGGTTTAGGTCAGGGCATAAAAACATAACTGCTGCTGACTGGGGCAGATTGTGGGTCCCTCTTGCCCACTGTCCAGGTTCAGCACTTGAATTTCTCCTGGCACATACCTGGATCAGAGGGAGGAGGGGCTCTCTGTTCTGATTTAGAACCTGATCCAAAAGCCCATTGAAAGCAATGGAAGTCTTCTAGTGTTTTCTGTTTGATCACAGCAGGTGGCAGCATGTACAAGACTATTTAATTCAATCTTCTTGGATGCCAAGGATACTTAAACAAAACAAAGCATGGCAATACCAAGCAACATAGCAAATAATGTAGGAGAGCATGAAAACAAGTTAACATGTACTCTCTCTTTCAGTTAATTGCTGCTCACACAGGATCTATAGGAAAGCCCCTGAACAAGCTGAATGCAAAAGGGAAAGGGGCATTGGATGAGTTTATTTTTTAAATTATATTTAGCAAATTAGAACAAAATCCTAGAAAACTGTAAGAGGAGAAGGAAGCTGATGCTTTTTGACTTTTACTAGGACAAAAGAGAAGAATATTGGGTTTATCTCTTTCATCCATTACCCTTGAGGTTTTCAAAATGAAACCACAACATCAAAGCTGAAATAAAACCCAAAGATCTCTTTTTCCCATGTGACTTTATATGCCAGTGCCCTGCCCTTGCTCCTCACTCCCAAGCCACAGCCACCCAGCCCTGCTGCTGCCCCTCACTCCTGACCCACAGTACCCTGCTTCCCAGACTATGCTGATACCCCTTACTCCCGACCCACAGCCCCCTGGCACTACCTGTACCCTGCACTCCCAACTCATAAGCCCCCACTCCCCTGATGCCCTTCACTTACTTCCAAGCCACAGCCACCCTCAGCCCTGCCAGTGCCCCTCACTTTCGACCTGCAGCCCCCCCACCCCCCAGCCCTTCTGCCCATACAGCTCCCTGCTGCCTCTGAAGAACCTCCCTGTCCCCTTCCCCCACTGAAGGGGCAGGCACCTTCCCTGCCTCCCCTGCCCTGCTGAGCCCTGGTGCCCAGACAGCTTCCCCCAGCGCTGGCAGGAAAACACACCCACCCATGCACTCCCTCACCCTCTGGACAGTCCCCAAGCTCTGGCCCTTCACCTCCCACCGACACAGACTTACCTGCCTGC